TTGCGGCCGTCGACGATGGCGAGTCCTTTAATCATTTAGTTTCTCCGGACAAGACAATTGAATGGCCTAGCCCTGAATAAACGCCATTTCCAGAAAACAGAAGTTCATCCTGAACCTTGCAAAGTAGTTTCACTTACAAAACCGGATTTTTACGTACTGTATGTAACTCGACAAATATCAGATGTTTCTTTAAAACAGCACCCGTCCATCGGACTAGATCTACCGTCTTGTATTCGAAACGCTTTCTCCTTAAACGAACGCCTTAAAGACAGAGTAGACTTACTCACCTTGAACTTGAATTTAGACGGATTTTCGTTTATCATTTCAATTTCAGGTGGAGCGTGTTGAAATAAAGGACGTATCTCTGCCTCAGGATATGCAACGAGCAATGGCCGCCGAGGCTCAGGCTGCCAGGGCTGCTAGTGCCAAAGTGATCGCGGCCAAAGGCGAACTGGATGCATCAGAGATGCTACGCGAAGCGGCACTTAAGATGAGTGCCACTCCGGTTGCCTTACATCTTCGTTATCTACAAACACTGGCTACGATTGCAACCGAACAAAATTCAACCATTGTATTCCCATTAGCCATGGAGTGGCTTGATTCCTTCAGGCCAAAGAAGTGAGCTGTTCTGTGGAAATGAGGCATTTGAGTCACGTGGAAATCGTTGATTTGCGTGGTGCGACTATGTACTTCTGTTTAAAAACATTTGAAGGACTTTTGTCAACCTAGCGTTTGCTGTAATTTATATTCTTCCTGGTAGATGTCTTTCCTGTTCGCCGCTTTACACTCTAATGTACGAGTTTTTCTCACAATGAAATGAACAGTGTCCTAAACCCCTTCTCTCATTTACACAGTGTGCTAACCAACAACGGGGGTAAATAGGTTTAAGTGATGCGCAGCCAGACGGTTGAAATCGTCACCAAGTATATATTTAGTATTGCTTGACTAACGCAACTATATATATATATATATATATGAATGTTCCTATTGTGAAAAGGTTTATGACAAAGAACTTTCAATTATATATCTAAACAACACCCTTGTACTTTAATGGTGTTCTTCTTCTGCGAACGAAAACTCATGGACTCGACGATTCCTTGAAATTCTAAGCTCATCTTTGCATACTTGCACAGTGCACATGGATTATGTAGAAATAAGCATACTTGATGAACCCGATAGTGAACAACTGGTGGAAAGCCGCTCTAGAGCCCTCCGTAACCGTATACACGCTTTTGTTACAGTATCTTCAATAACATTTCACCTGTGACGTGAGAAGATCCAGCCAACCGGTAGGATTCCGTAGCTGTTGAACGCCTTCAATTAATCAGATTAACACCGCAGCCATCTGCTTGGGCTGAACTTCTTGAAACAACATCAAGTTACAAAAACCATGTTAAACAGGGATGCTTTGTTTCTGACTAAAAGAAAATTCTACTCTATGTGCTGTAATAAATGGGCAATTTTCAAACGTGTAGCAGTTTGACAGCTTCCAAAGACATCTCCAGAAGAACCGCTTGACGCGGCTTCCTACCCATTGGACTAAAGCCTAACGAATTTTCTGATGCTTTACAGCAAAAAACCACTTCCACATTGTTTACTTCTATTGAAGTTTGTGAACATGAGCACGGTTCTTCCAGACGCTGTAAAGTAAGTGTGGGTAGGGTCTTACGGAAGCTGTTTAGATAAAACACACACCAATGGCCTCGGGGTTGAGCAACACTCAAAATACTGCAATTGAACGTTTGATTCACCAGCAGACACATCACTTTGAACAGTAATATCTCAGTGTAACAGTATTCCTCTACTATCGCTCCGCAGACGATACGAAAGATGTGATTATAGGGAAGTAACCGAAGGCCACTTTTGGTGAATTTCGTTGGGACTTCTAGGTTTGACACAAAGCACAGCATATATAATGGGGGAACGCCGTCGGCTTGACAAAGCGGCCAACCTGACCTGGTCCGAGGAATTGTTACGTGAGTGAAAATACCGTGAGTGAAAATATCCGACGAACAATAGTTACTTAGAATTCCTGTGTCCGTAGAAAACTCAAAGTTTTGTACAGCAGGATACACATTAAGGAAGATCCTCTGCAGTGAACGGAGGGACTTGTAATGATTTTTTGTAAGGAAGAGGGACTGATGGGCACACTGTTTGATGAAAAAACGGAATTTTATTTCAACATAAGCTGAAGGCTGTCGAGTGCTTCACATTATATACATATATATATATATCATTTGGAACTCATGTTATTAGCATATTAATTTTCAAATGAGAATGTATGGCCCCATGCTTCCAGTTTTGTGTTTGAGTGAAGAACAGCTTGTCAAAAATAGAGTACCAATCCAATGCGTTGATTCCACGAAAAACTGGAGCCACTAACCAAACATTTTCCCCAACCTCATGAGTAGTGTCATATGAAGGAAATGTCGAACAAATATGTCAGCCATAAGGCTTTACAATAAATTGTATTCTGGCTGCTATTTACGTGGTCTTCACAGTGTTTCGGCAAACTAACCCTTGGTTTTCTTCGTCAGATGTGTAAAGCAAAGCTTTGAAATTGACGGAAAAATTAGATTAATTTAGTAGGACATATGTACACATCACCTCCAGCTTCATCTTTGATTCCATATTGAACCAGTTTATCCAAGTGTGTTATGCATTAAGTTGGACTGGTCACATATAGCTAAAATTCACACATTATAAAGTGGGTGGCAGAACCTGCGAGAACACATCCGGCCTTCTAGGAACATGCAATCTAGGCTCTCGCTGCAGCATGTCCGTCACAGACATGAAGCTGGATGGTCTAAGTTGATCTAAAGAGCTATCGATGATTGGGATAATCGATAATTCTCATGCGGGCAAGGGAGATTCATAGTTTGTACGAATCACTTTGAAAGCACGGCGTCGGATTCTGCAGTCGAACCGCAACTGCTTTGCCTGTAATCAGGCAGCCTCGTGAGATCGATAATGACAGTCCCTGAGCCATCGGTTCTTCTCTTAGTCCTCCATTCAGTGACACATTTATGTGAAAAAGTTCAACTTTGCTGACAAAATGGGAAGATCATATGTACCAATTCTAATCGATGGCACGTAGATGGTATTTTTGTGCTTGTATCAAACAGCTCAGAAATAGGCGCTCTCCGAAGCAGTGTTAGCGAAACACATCCCTCAATTCAGGTTACTTTTCATGCCGAAAATGACGACGCTAAATCACTCAGATTATCCACAGGTTCGATCCAAGGATTTGTCTACAGAAAGCCCACGTGGACCCAACAGTAGGGAAAACCTAAAAATTTGTGCCATGGAGGCAAAAACGAATCCTGAATTTCTCTCTGGCGAACCAATCAAGGCTAATCTGCTCTGCTCATAATCTGAACGCTGAACTGAAGCGTGTTTCTAACCTATTGCTCAAGTTTATCTAGATAGGTTTATAGCGAAGAATATATTTGAGTATCCTATCCGACCCTTCTGTTACAACCACTGCAAAGAAGCCAATCTACCTTGGTCTACCCTGTAGAGGCGGTCTGTTGACAAACATCGTCAATCGTCGCTCGTTTGGAACCACACAACGCATGATTTCGGCTGAGATTTTGTGCTGACGGTCTACAACCAACTCTGCTCAAACTGAAACTTAATAACAAGGCACCACTCCCCGTCACAAATATGATGGTATTCCTTCTCCTGCTGTTTTTCAGCGGGACATATTGGAATTACAATGAAGTAATTTGCTAGGAGGGCGTCTGGAAAGCCATTTTGTTAGATTCGACAGTTGGGATAAAAGCTCGACTGCGATCCACTTCAGTGAAACTGCTCACATTGTCAACCCAGGCAATCCGTTCCACATCATCTACTTTATCCGTTGTAGACTACCGGCATTAATCCAAAGGCTTCACTTGACAGCAGCCAACGAAGTCGCAATTTATTTGCAACGACCTGCACTGTGACTTCATGTGACACTCATCGACTGTCCCGGGGGCGAGATGGCCCAAGTGGTTAGAGCGCGAATTTACGGACCGGAAGGTCCGTGGTTCGAATCCGACCTCCGCCACTCGACTTCCCCTGTCTAGGCTTGGGCAACCTGGCAGTATCCGAGCCCTCGTGCTTCCTTCGGGTGGCATGGCAGCTAGGCACTAGAAGGGTGCTACAGCTGAACAGCTGAACGCTGTCCCGGCAGCTCAATTGTCCTACATTATCCAAGATATCACTTGTGATTTGCCAACACCCAATTGTTCATGACTTCCCTTTGATAACTCATCAACCAATCTTGGCGGTTTAATTAACTATTTATTCATATCTTGATCATCGGAGGTGTACATAGTTGACGGGAAGAACACGAAAGCCTTACCGTTCGCCACTGTTGAAATTCATTTTTCAGTTGGAACCGTGGTTCAGGCATACGTGCAAGTTGCTTAAATTCTGGTCACACAAACTTAGCGGCTTGTCCAACTGTTATATTCCTATTGATTAACAATAGTAATGGGTATGTAACGCGTCTGTATGTATTGTGTCGAAAGTTTTCGTTCAAAGATTCTTTACTACCGAAGTGTTCTAGATAAACAATCGTGGATAACAACCAGTCGAACAACAACCCAAAGGGGTTGGAATAAAACTGTCTTACTGAGGGCAGTGGAAGACTTGGGAAGGTCGAAAATTTTAAACCGTAGTGCTGAGAAGTATGCGAGTTATGGCCTCTGTCCCGAAGCAGCGTGGATCTCACATGTGAATTGTATGAGCATGACATGATCAAGTTGCTACACAGCTAAAATCGCACTTGTTCCAGAAGGCTTTGATAAGCAATTGGTAGTTCATAACTGAGCGAGGTTTTGATTGTAGCACAAAATCTTCATCAGAACAAGTGAGCGGGTCATTAAGTTGTCCAAGATTCTAGGAAGACGGGGAACCAATCATAAAACTTTTTCAGTGTTGAATTTCAATTGAAGGTTCTTATTGATTAATGTGTTTGCCTAAGTCTTACGGTTAATGGGTTAGAGGAATTTCAAATTCATTTTATTGCATTTGGTTTTTTAGACTTCCAGTTACTCAAAATCAAAGCAGCAAAAGTGAAAGACGTGCAAAGAAGGAACTTCTAAAAGAGAAAAATACGTAAGTTTGAAAAGCTACCTTTCAAGACCCAGCCTTCCAGTGAGCCAATGACGGGGTGTGGGTTACATACTAAATACTGCAGAGTGGCTACTTTGTCAAATACACCGCTAAGCGTTGTCTGGTAGAGAAGGGGTTGTGTTTTCCGGTAGGTGAAAGGGTGATAAAAGTGGGGGAAATAATCCCTAGGATTGAAACTGCTTCGAAAAATTTAGCTTACGATTGCCTAGAACCTACGGGTTCTCCTGGCCACAGTCCTAAATTTCCAACAATCTGTAGCTCTGGATGTCACATAAGCAGACCAGAGAGTGTTAAGCACCCTAAAACAAGTGGACAAAATATTGATTACACAGGCGGATATAGGTAAGGCCACTGCTGTCATGAACAACATTGATTATCTAAAACAATCTGAGGGTCCTTACAGGCAAATCAATAATGAGAATATTAAGTCTCCATTGAGCAAGAGCAAAGTTGAATTTGGCAGGCATTTGATAAACAACTTTGGGCAAGCTAACTAGT